TAATAGACAAACCAATGAAGACTAAAAGCAAGAGAAAAATTTTATAGAAATCAATTCATGAAAGTGAATAATGGGAGATCCTTGCTATCAAAAGTAACCAACAAAACCCATGTAGTCAGGCTTGGCTTTGTAACCATTAAATCTACAACTAAGAAAACCCAATGGGTTGCCAAGGCTGAGTCAAGTGCAACTGTAGTTAAGAAAACTAGCTGCTTTGGCAAAGACTTGAACGAAGTTGTGAGTAAGAATTTAGAGAAAGTCTCTTTAGAGAAAAACAATATGCCTCTAACAAAAATTGAAGGTGAACATGATGCTGACTTCATGGGGGAGGAAGGTGGCAATAAGTTTGATGAAGTTGAAGGTGAGGAGGATGATATAACAAATAAATGGGAGAAACAGACCGATTTGGAGGACAAAGATATAGTAACAATCACTACAATGCCAAGAGCTCTGTTGGTGGATATTAGAGGAAACTAAGGGCAACTGAATAGTAGGGAGATCAAGGGCCCCAATTATCTCATAGTCGAAGATGAAGTGCTTGGCATGGAACATTATAGGAGTGGATATGAAGCTCCTTAGAAGGCAAGTGAGAGAACTTACCAAAACTTTTAAAAATCAACTTTTGTTATTTGATGGAGACTAGAGTTAGTCCATCCACTACTAGTAAAACTATTAAGACTCTAAGTTTTGATAAAGTTTTTTTGTAGTTGATGCTTGTGTGTTCTCCAATGGTCTCTAGATCCTCTGGAAGATCTCCTTATGTGTAATGTGGATGTTTTGTTTTCGAATGACAGACTAGTTCATGCTATGGTTGTAGACAGAATGAAAAATGACCACTTTTTTTATACTTTTGTTTATGCTCCTCCTGCTCTTGCGGATCAACCAAGAATTTGGAATATCATTGAATCCATTGAAAACACCATTAATGGCCCATTGTGTGTTTTAGGGGACTTTAACACCATTAGAAATGGTGATGAGAAAAATGGGGGTCAAAAGGTTTCCCTCTTCTAAACAAAGACTTTTAATAATTTAATTAATAGTTGTAATTTGATCGAAATTAACAGCGAAGGGAGTAGATTTACCTAGAGATAAAAAAAAAAATTATTCAAGAAAAAATAGATTGAGTTCTACTGAACAATGATTAGTGTATGAGATATCCAAACTCCGAGATCAAGATTCTCAACTTGGAAAATTATCAAAATTTTAGGCCCTAGCCATTTTCATTTGAGGCAATGTAGAGTGATAGAGAGGATCTAAAAGATGTTATCATGAGGGCATAGGGCATCTCTATCAAGGAATCGAAAGGGATTCAGTTCATTAAAAAAAAAGAATTGTTACAACCAATGAAATTAAAAAATGAAATAAAACAATTTTGAAAATATTGGAAATATCCATGATAAGAAGAAAAGGTAGATTAGGTTATTATCTGAAGTCCAACAAGAACTCTTGGATAATCTAAGAAGAAAGGACTTAAGAATAAAGGAGTAATTCAAAAACAATTAAATAAGATTCTCTTAAAAAGAAAGCACATTGGGCACAAAAATCTAGAATAACTTGGATTCATCTTAGGGATAGAAATAATAAATTCTTCCACACTGATGATTAGAAGAAACCATAATAGAATTCCCAAAATCAAAGATGATAGGGGGAGTTGGATTCAAGATGTAGAAGGAATGAGGGGGTATTTTTAGTATGAATGGTACTAAGGCCATGGATGAGGTAGTCAACTTCATCATCTCATGCATTGCAGTGGACCAAAATAATGAGATTGGTAAGGATGTAACTGGTGTTGAGATTTGGGAGGCCTTGAATTCGATGCAATACCTAAAATCCCCTAGCCCAAATAGTTTAAATGTTTTATTTAAAAAAAATACTAGGATATCATTGGAAACTCAATTGAAGAGACTATTAAGGCATTTTTTTCACTCTAAAATAATGATTAAGAAAATCAATAGGACTTTTGTTGCTCTTATCTCAAAATCTAATAATGTAGTTTAGGTGGAGAATTTTAGGCCTATTAGTCTGTGCAATGTCATATGCAAAATCATTGCAAAAATATTAGTAAATAGAGTCAAACCATACCTTGGTAAGATAATTTTTTCTCTCCAAAGTGCTTGTGTTCCCAGAAGACAAATTACATACAACATTCTTATAGTTCACAAACTATTTAACACAATGAGAAAGAAGAAGGTAAAGGTGGTACTCTTTCTTGTAAAATAGATATGGAAAAAGCATATGATAGATTGGAATGAAATTTTTTAGAGAAAGTGTTAGAAGATATGGGTTTAACAATAAACAAATTAACTGAGTAATGCAATGTGTATCCACTATCTCTTTTCCAAGTTCTTGTAAATGGATCCCCAACCAGAGAGTTTAAACCTACTAGCTAGGGGTATCAAAGAGGGGGATCCCCAATCTTCATACTTTTTGTCTTATGTGGTGAAGCCCTAACTAGAATGATTTGCTCATAAAAGAAGGATGCTAACCTAGGATTTGTTACATCAAGGAAAGGACCAAGGGTTCCCATTCTATATTTGCTGATGACTGCATTTTCTTTATTAGGACAACTGTCAATAATGTTTTTAGAATTAAAAAAATTTGAAAAAGTCTGCTAAAGCTTCGGGCCAATTCCCAAACTTTGTTAGGATGGAATTTGCTATGTAAATCAAAATCCAATGGGGCATCAAAAAGTTTAATGGATGAATGCTACTTGCTAAGCTAAGCTAGGATGGAAAATCTTAACGGATCCTTCAAACTTATGGGTGCAAATCATGAGGGAAAAAAAATACTTGAGGAATATTGATTTTGGGAAACCAAGGAAGACAAGGGAGTTCATGAGCTTGGAAAGGAATTTTAAGCCATCATAACATCCTTAAGAAAGGCATTCATTGGATTGTATAGGAAATGATAAGGAAATTAACATTTGGAGTGATAACTATATTGAGGGACATCTTATCATGAATGCAGTTGGTGGAAATACAATCTCAATGAGGAATGTTAGCGATCTAATGGATGGTTCTAGGGAAAAGTGGGATGAATCTAACATATGTGGCCTTTTAGGGACATGGTATTGGAATAATAAGAGACATTATTATCCCTTCTGGAGAGAAAGATGATTTGGTGGTGTGGTATCCTAATCCCAATGGAAATTTTAGGATAAAATTGGCCTACAATATGTTAGCAAATAATGACTCAAATACTAACACTAATGGGAACAATGGTTTGAAAGTTTTGACTCTAAATTGCCCTTCAAAACTAAAATTCTTCATGTTCTTGCTTCTTTCTAATAAACTTCCCTCTAAAAGTGTCCTAAGGAGAAGAGGGGTGGATTTAGAAGAGGAGTGCAGCCCTTATTGGAAACTGGAGGACTACAACCACATCTTATATTGTGATTATGCTAGGCAGTTTTGGAGCCTTCTGCAATGGGTGGATTTGAGACCCATGCGGGGGAGATAATGTAAAATCTTGGTGGGAAAAAAGGATGCAAAATGCCTAATTACAAGAATACAAGTATGATGGAGTTTCTAGTTTTTCTGTGGAGATTATGGAAAAACAAAAATGGGAAGGTGTTTAAGAATAATATCTTCCCTCTGGCTATCCTCTTTAGTAGAGCTAGGGGTGATTGGGAAGAGTTCACTAAGCTCTTTAATCCTGACAAAAAAGTGAAAGAATCCTAGAACATAAGGGTGAGATGGACAATTCCGAATGAATCTTTTATAAAAGTAAATTTTGAAGCATCATAGAAAAAAGATGAATCGGTAGTGATTAGGTGTATTGTGAGGAATGACAAAGGAGAGATATTGGTTAGTACAAATAAACATGTTGGCTAGTGTTCCATACCATAATATACTGTGGAGGCGTGGGCTGCTTTCGAAGCCCATGACATTGCTAAATATTTCAAGAGGAATATATCATCATGGGGTTGGTAAGGGATTCAAATTTGGTGATAAATTGTCTCAGGGATCGGAACACTACATCATGGAGCATAAAAGCCATCATTGAGGAGTGAGACAGAGGTTAAACGTCCAATACTCACATATCTTTAGGATTGTTGACTTCCTGCGAACGAAATAGACAAATAGTATCCCATGTGTTGCGAGCTTCAGTGTTTTGTCTTCTATTTGTCTAGTTGATGTTTAGGGGAGGGATCAACCCACGGGTTGTATAGTCTGAGTCATGTGTTAGTTTCTCTTTATTTTTCTTTCTTTTGCTTTGTATTATTTCCTCATTATCAAAAAAAAAAAAAAATTCAACATGGGCTGATTGGCTGACCCCAAGTCCATATATCAAATTTCAGGTTGGATCCAAGTTGAACAAATCAGGCTTGACTTTACCTTGATCCAGGCTTGGGCCTTATCCCATGGTTAAGCTTGAATTGACCTTACACAAGGCCCAACCCACCCAACTTACGCCCGTTTGAAGAAATTGAAGACTTCACTACTTCAAGCTTGAAGCTTATTTCTAATTAGACCTTTTATGGGCTGGGCCAGGGCGGCTTCAGGCCGGGTTTTGTCTCTGTATTAACAAAATATATCCAGGCCCGATTCGAGCCCGGCCCAACTAATAGGCCTAGGTCTTGAGCCCGAACCTAGCCCTTTATATAAAACTTGAAGCTTAGGCCCAAGTCCCAATCCAACTAGAAAATTGGAAAAGATTTTTTTGTTAAGTAAAAAACTGTTTTATTTATATTAAAAAACCTCAAAACCTAAAAATAATGAAGGATCTCACTATTATTTAAAAAAAATAAAAAATATATATTATATATATAAAATTTATTTTTATTATATAAATACATTATCAAGTCGTGTCAGGAGCCCGGCCAAAAAAATCAGAATGTTTTACACCTGAGCCCATGCCTGCTGTCCAAACTTGACTTAAATCGGATCGGCCCGTCGGGCTACTCGGCCCACGAACGGTATCTTTCCGGTTAATGGACGGTCAACCTGCAAAGGCCGGTTCCTTCCGAAGTAATAAAATTATAAATAACGAAGAAGCCGGTTTAGAAATTGAACCCTAGGTTTCGTTGCTAGATCCAGTTCTATCATCAATTTATCATTGAAGGGGAATCGGACTCTCCTCCACAGGGTCTGAAGCTCAGCAACAAGTCGCAACTCGTCTTTGTTTCCTAGGGTTAGGGTTTTTACTCGGCCCGCCAACCTCTCGCCACAGGTACGAGACCCGCCATGGTTTTGCCGTTTCTTCTCTTCAAGCTTTTCTTTTTCTTAGCATTATAGGGTTAGGGTTTCTCTTGGGCTTTGGTTTAAGTGAGTATGTATTTCTTCTTAGGGCATTTCGTCATCCTCGTTTTTCTTATTCAGGAATCTGTAGCAGTTGTTTGCTACTTCATCTTCTCGGGACTGTTCTTTTAATGCTTCTGAACGTGTCTTCCTTTTCTTTTACCGTTTCTTCATTATATTTCTTTCATCTTGATTGATTCTGTTGGGAGAAAACTGGTATTGGGAACTTATAAAAAAATCTGTTCTTGGGAGTTTTTGTCTCCTGTTTCAATTTATTCTGAAATTCTTTTAGATTTTGGTCGATGCATTTTAAGGTGAAAATCTGTCATTTGCTGTTTGAATTCAGTTTTAGGTTGTTTTGTGAAGGATTCTTCGCCGTTATGGTTCCTTTTTCCCCACTTAATGCTGTTACTATTCTTTTTAATCTTTTTTTATATGCTTTGTTTTTATTATCTGTTGCATAAAGCCGTTTGGAATTTCTAAGGTGATTGAAGGTTGGGTTCATTCATTATTGGTGTAAGGTTTTTCTCACTGAAAAGATGGTGTTTTGAACTGATTAATTCATGTTGATGAATTAGTGGGTCCGTGTAGCTCCTGGCTTTTTAGGGTTTTAGCAGTTTGATATAGTATCTCTCTGTTTAGTACGCTCTTATGTTTGAGATAATCTTTTTTCTATTTTACGTTTTTGGGGTTGAGTTTTTAGTATACTGAAGTCTCAAGTCCCTATCCTCTGAGAATGTTTGCGGGGGTTCCAATATTTTGTTCACATATTCTCTTGTAGGACTTCAATTAAATGTGTATTTAATTGCATTTTGTCTTACAGGAAGCAATTCTACCATCAAACATAGTTGCTTTGGCCCGATATGGGTGAGAGTGGAAAGCGATCCCGCTCACAGAAGGATCATGATGTGGATGGCAAGAACCAAAAAAGACGGTCTAGCAACAAAGAAGACGCAGGGGATGATGAGTTGGTTGTTTATCGCATACTTTGCCCAGATAATGTTATTGGTAGTGTAATTGGTAAGAGCGGGAAAGTGATAAATTCATTAAGGCAGGAGACGCGTGCAAAGATTAAGGTTGTGGATCCCTTTCCTGGTGCCAAGGAGAGGGTTATAACAATATATTGCTATGTTAAGGAGAAGAAAGATGTGGAGGTTGATGATGACAATGATGATATGGAGCCTCTCTGTGCTGCCCAGGATGCACTTCTCAAAGTACATGCAGCCATTGCCAATGCAGTGGCTACTGCTGGGGATTCTGACAAGAAACGGAAGGACAAGGAGGAGGCTCATATTCTTGCCCCTACTAGCCAGTCAGCTAATGTTATTGGTAAAGCTGGTGCCACAATCAAGAAATTAAGAAGTAAGACAAAGGCAAACATCAAAGTTTTCCCCAAGGACACAAATGATCCCACTCATTCATGTGCTATGGATTTTGACAACTTTATTCTGGTAAATGGATTCTCTTTGCCTACTAGCTTATTTTTAAGACTAGCTAGTGGACTCTTGCAATGCATGAGTAATGTTGGAAAAAAGATTTTATGATTTTATGTGCATATCAATTAATAAAAAGTGTTTGAGGATATGGAAGATTTTAAGAAAAAAACTGTAATTTAACATTCAATAATCGTTTTATACTGTTCAAGTAATTATTGAAATATAAGAAGCTGATAAATGATGATATATGACTAAAATTTATTATGATCCTTTATATATTTTTAATTTACAAAGTGAGTAAACCACATCTGTGAGAAAAGAGAGGGCTCCTGGCCTCTCTCTTTCCTCTATATAATATAATATAGATATAGATTTCAGCAACAGATCAAACCTCTCAAAGGAGAGGGCTTGTAGACTTGTAGCTTGGTGAAACGGTGAAATCATGGGCTGACAACTGCCAAGCATGTGGCCACTTCATGCAAGAAAATGCTGAAGGTTAGGTCTGCATCCAGTCTACCCCTTCCAAGACTCTAGATATCTGGGACCAACTTTACGTAATGGCCCTATCAAACCTTTGTTTATGTTTGGGTCATTCATTGTATGAGAGGATCCCATATAAATTGGATATGTTATAAAAATGGTAACTTGGGTGTGCCTAGGTTAAAAGGTGAGCCATCACTATGACTGATGGAAAAAATTGTGAGGCATCATTATGTGCACTGAATTTCATCTGAACCCAAGCGTGCCTCATTGGGCTTCTTGTTGTTTAAATGAATTATCATTGAATTGATGTTTGAATATGTAAATTACCATTTGTAGTTTGTAGCAATGATGTTTAGAGTTTTGACTGTTTGACCTATATTGTACTTAAAGTTAATAAGATACAACTTTATGTTTTAACTTTTAATATTTAACTTACCACATGGCACTTTGACCTCTAACTAATTGAACCAGTAGGCTTTTTGGAATATTTTATTTCCCCTACAATTTAGATTTGCATTTCTTAAAATTCTTGAAAAGTGGACTCTTGACTTTTTTTATTAGTATGAGATTTAGCTTAGGTTTAACCAAAAATAGGCTGGATAGAATTTAAGAGAGCTTAAATAATCCATAAAACTCACTGGAATCAGGCCACAAAACCCCTAGTTTATTAGTATGATATTTAGCTTGGGTTTATCCAACAAAATAGGCTGGATAGAACCAATCCAAATTTTGCAATGTAGCAGCCCGTATTGGTCAATACATATTGTATGGGTAGGTCACTGATACACTGAAAATGGGAATTTTGGGGTTTTAACCCATTTGAGGGGTTAGGCAGTCCTTAGATCGACCCCCTCAGACCAATTTTTGGAAAAAATACCCTAAAGAAAAAACGTAAAGAATGTGGTTGAAACACCCAATATGCCCCATCCAGTGTATCTGGGTGTATAAGTACTCTGAACCTTGGATAGAACTTAAGAGAGTTTACATAATCTATAAACCTCACTGGATGATGCAATGAAAAAACAGGGTTTCATAGGGTTAATATGTTCTAGTCATAGTTGTCAAGGTGACAAGGTGCCCTTGGAGGTTTGCTTGTCTAATCGCCAAGTAGTTTTCCATAGTGTGTTAGAAAAAACTTTTATATTCTTAATTTTTTGAGGTTATAATTTTAAAATAGACATTTTTAAACTAAAATATTCATTATACTAATTTCTTTTTGTTATTTTCTTATTTGTTATGGTTTAATCAACACAAACATTGCTAAATGCTGTATTGAAATTTCCGTTCTTTCTTCTTTTCCTATAACAGAAAAAGGGGTTCAGCCCCTATATTTTTTTGAAATTTCTTTTCTTTCTTTTTTTTTCTCATGAATATGTTGGGATATGTTGATTTTCTGTACTTAAACATGAAGTTTATACTTATGAAAATTATGGATAATTATTAATGAAATATAATTATTGAACCTAGGGAACTACCCTAGGATACGTATTTTTACTTGAAAAGGATCTTTTGTCCCAATTGCATAAGTTGAAAAATCTAACCTATTGGTTGGGGGTGCTATGGGAATTTTCACCATGTACATACCTTCTTAATATATAATCAAATCAATAATTATATTTGTTAGCAATAGAAAAATATAGAGTAAATAAAGCAAAGAACCATTAAGTTGGTAAAAGTGGTTTTAAACAGGGTTTGGAAGATGGTTAAATGAAACAAAAGTCTGGCTAGAGATTTAGGAGGGTCATCTGTAGGGGTTTGGAACATTAAAGATGTTGTTCATAATGTTCAAAGAGGAGTGCAACAACCTAGAAGCAGAAGACATAATCAGTGTTTTCATATATTTGAAGTCAGCACTAAACGAATCAATGGAGAAAAATTTTCATCCATTCATTCATTCACTCAATGCTCAAATGATTTTAAAAGGGATTATATAGAGGATTTAAAATATCTCTTTTTAAGATCTAAAATATATTTATTTTCCTAAACAATGAAACTAAAAGAATAAATGTTTGCAAGATAATGAATCTTTTAAGTCTCCAAGTACTTTGCAAATTTTAAGGTTCCAATGGAATCTTAAGAAGATTTTGAGAAGGTTTGATTGGATTTAATTGCATATCACGTGGGGCCTGCATGAGTTGCAGCCATAGGCTTATTTTTGTGGCCGGTGCTCCATTTGACCGATACAGCAATTTATTGGGCCCAGGATTACTGAGTATTTTCACACCACTGGCATTGAGTCAGTTTCACATCATATTTATGAAAATATAATTAATGGCCCATTAGTAGAGCTACTAGAAGGTCCAAACAGTTCCAAAGGAAAACTTTTCTTTTGCATTTCTTTGTTTTGTTTTTTCAGCTAATATTTAGTACTTATATGATTGTAATCATATGACATTTTGAAATATGACTTTTAAAATAGAAATATCGATTGTTTTGGAAAGTCATTATGTATGGCAAGTTTTTTAAGGTTTATTTTATGTCATTGTCCATTACACCTTCTGGTTTCCAATAGGATATCGTGCAATAGTTGATCCTTTTGATTACATGTTTGATAGAGGCTCGGAGCAACATTTGAGATTTATTGGCACATGGACTTATGTTGGTTATTTTGTCAGAATGTAATTGAACTGGTCTTTTGTTGGGATCCCATTTAGTGTTTGATTGGGGGCATTTTCTAAAAATAATGTTCAAGTTACTACTTATTTTATTGTAAAAAATAACCCTATAAGTTATAGGCAAAAGCCCGGCCTGAGCCTGGGCTCTATCCCCTACCATAGGTGCTAAGTTTTGGCCCATGATCACCCCCAGGGGGTGCTTAAAGTTCTGCCATTAAAGTTTGCATTTTCTTACCAAGCAACCCTATTCATGATGTTTTTGTTATCTAAACTCGAAAACCAAGGTTGAGGAAGCACACACATGGGGAGAAAACTAAGGTCTTCTTTCATGTAATTCTAATAATGGCCCAGCCTTGTGGTATGGGCCCAATTCAGTGTAAGTTCAAGCCGGGTACCCAACTAGCGCACCTACTCCCATGTTATCCTTCTCTCTCTCTCTCTCTTAAAGTAGAAATTGCTTGTTTAAAATTTTGCAAAGTGAATGTATTATATTGATATCTATTTTCCTCTGGTTTCTTTTGAAATGTTGAATTTCTCTGATACCTGAGTCATTGTTTGTTAATTATTTTTGAGTAGATAACTGGTGATGCAGAAGCTGTAAAGAAGGCACTATATGCAGTCTCTTCTATCATGTACAAGTTCTCTCCAAAAGAAGTAATTCCTCTTGAGGCAACAGTACCAGAAGCTCCTCCAAGCATCATTATCCCATCAGATATCCCTATTTATCCAGCTGGAGGCTTCTACCCAAGTACAGATCCTCTTATTCCCCCATCTAGATCTATTCCTCCTGTGATTGGTGCTACACCACATATGCCTGATCTCCATGGATATATGGATACAGGCAGTGCCTGGCCTGTCTATTCTTCATCTTCTCTTCCTGTAGTTTCTGGTTATGGTGGTTCCTCTCGATCTGAAGAACTGGTAATAAGATTGCTTTGCCCTTTTGATAAGATAGGGCGTGTTATTGGGAAGGGAGGGAGTTCCATTAAGAGTGTGAGGCAGGCGAGTGGTGCTCGTGTTGAAGTTGATGATACAAAGGGTGATCGTGACGAGTGCTTGATAACTGTCACATCAACAGAGGTTAGGGCTTTCTACTTTTGTTTTTTCTGAGAAGTGGGACATAAATTATTCTTCGAGTCTTCTTCTTCACTTTACATGCATGTCCATGAGGCTGTGCATTCATGTATGTTTTTGATAATTCTTCTCAAGAGGATCTTGCCAGTAATAATATGGGAGGTCAATTTGCCAAGTTTTTTCTCACACTATATGTAACATAATCCTCCTGACTCTTTGAAGGAATTGATCAATTGATCAGGCTTGTTTGCTTGATCTTTCATCCTAATATCCTTGGTCAGTAGAATGTGGTTGAAAACCACCCCCATCAGTCATTCGTGGTTTTTGCCTTTAATTTTTTCGTTTTTTGCTTGTTTTTTAACTTAATTGTTAATTTGTGTTTTTTCTGTTGGTTGGTAGGCTTCAGATGATGTGAAGTCGATGGCAGTTGAAGCCATTCTACTACTCCAAGGGAAGATAAATGATGAAGATGACGACACTGTTAGCATCCGTCTCCTTGTTCCATCTAAAATTATAGGTTGCATTATTGGAAAGAGTGGCTCAATTATAAATGAAATGCGAAAGAGAACCAAAGCTGATGTGCGCATCTCCAAAAGCGATAAGCCTAAATGTGCAGAGGACAATGATGAACTTGTTGAGGTCCTTGGAATTTTCTTTCTTCTTTTTCTATATATTATTTGTTTACCTCTTGGCAACTCCATATACTTGGGACCAAATTTTAATTTGAATACAGTTGAACTTACCCCACCCTCCATGTTGCACATATAGGTTGTTGGAGAGGTTAGTAGTGTGAGAGATGCACTTGTTCAGATTGTTTTGAGGCTTCGAGATGATGTTTTGAAGGATAGGGACGGTGGTCGCAACCCCCCTCCAGTTTCTGATTCTCTATACTCTGGTGGAAGTGGTCTTTCAGTCCCTTCAGTCCTGCCTAGTGTTCCACCAGTTGCTCCTTTGGGGGGTTATGATAGGGTTGAAAGTGGAAGCAGCTTGGGCATGTTATCTTCAAGCAGCCTTTATGGATATGGATCATTGTCGGTAAGCTTCTTTCAAGTAGCTAAACAGTCGATTTCTTTTCTTTGCTCTTCTCTGTGTACACAGTCATGAATACCTCTAACTTGCTTTGGGGTCCAGATGAACAATGATGAACAAGAACCTTTTAAATATGGGACAATAGCTTTGTTAGTGACTCAGCACCGGCTGTTATGTTTGCCTTTTAGTTTAGATTGACATGTTTCTGGTTAAACTTTTATTCCTTGCTTGATCATAAAAAAATTATCTAAAATACTTAAGTCACTGTTTGTTTGTGTTTAAGAGACTGGAGAGGCGGAATAAAACACTCTTCCTTTATTTCTTTGATGTACATGTGGAATAAAACACTCTTCTCTATTTGTTATTGTATAATATTGATACTTCTCTACTTTAGTTCTTCAATTGATAATTTGATAAGCTCCTGGGGATGGCATCCCTGTCATCATTTTTTACTGCTACAGCTTTCTTTAATTCTTATAAACTAATTTTTTCTGCTGATAAAAAAAATGATTCACATTCTTATCAAATCTGATATTCATTTGAAAGATCTTGTAAATAGAATTCTTCTTGAAAACATGCCTTAATTTTTTTTTGTTCAAAAGAAACTAATTTTTCATATCAAACAGAAGTAGGGGAAGGAATATAGTTGGTAAAATGTTTTTGATTCCACTATATGAGTAGTTCAGCATTGCCAAGTCATCTCTTTTTGTCCCGACTTTCGCATAGGATTTGGTTTTGTCAATTCCACTAACCTTTCATTTCTTTGTTCTTTGCTTTCTTATGAAGGGTGGAGAGAATGGTTATGGATCACTTTCTTCATATTCATCAAAACCATATGGAGGGTTTGTTTCCACACCTGAATTCGCATCTTGAATATAGCTTCCTTTCTTTTTATTTGTTGTTTTACTTGACTGTACTTCATCTATGCCATTTTTGTTGCAGATTGCCTCCGCCTTCTGCTCTTGAGATGGTAATTCCCGCAAATGCAGTGGGTAAAGTTATGGGAAAAGGTGGAGCAAACATGGGCAACATCCGAAAGGTGGGTTTTGGTTTTCCTTATATGGGATGCACTGCATTCTGTTTAATCAGATCAGTTAAACTTCTCGCTTGTCAGCTTGCTTTTAAAGACATTGGTAACATTACATCATCTTTGTCCCGTTACTCCATTAGAACATAACAATGGTGGAGTGTTGCATGAATTGTTAGTGGAGGGATGGGTGCTATTTTAAGTTAATCATTCTAATGACGTGTTCACTTTCTTATGAAGCAAACGCTGTGCGATTGCCTGAATTTCAATTCGATCCCATTAAGGGTGATCCAAATTTGATTTTTGTATAATTGGATTGAATAGTGATCCACCCCTAACAAACCCAAATAACTTTGATTTGAATTGGTTAAATATATATGCCTATATATACTTAGAAAGTTATATTGTATGCTAAAGTTGGTTTGAATGTTGTTCTTTACTGAAGTGTTATAGGTTCAAGTTTCATGCAAGTAGTTATCAATTCATTTTGTTCATGGAATACAATATCAAAACCATTTCTAGTTTATTATTATAATAATAAAAAATATTTTT